AAGGCTCTGAAGCAGAATTTCCTTAATAAAAATTACTGATGTACAGCAGTTGCTCCAAATTACACATTTGTATGTATTCACTAGAGCCCATGTAACCCATCATGTATCAGCCCATGTAACCCATCAGCTTCTGATGCTGCTTTTGAGCGAGACAGAGGATCAAACTCAGAGCTCTTTATTTACTCAGAAAGGAAGAAGAGTATATCCCCCAAATACAGATATGTAAATCTGCAAATGTATTCCTGGTAAAAACATGACTAGCCAACTTTTCTGTTTACGCTTTCTTATATTCAAACCACAGTAACACTTTCACTGTCAGCAAGGACTGCTTGCCTAGTCAGGGATCAAAGCAGAGCAGATCTAAATAAAATTGCCAGTCTGGACAAGGACTGAGCCAAAATCACTCTGAGAAGAGTCTGCACTGTGTTTCACAATGCAGCAGACAATAACAGGAACCAAGGAGAAATGCAAAACCATCACTGACAAAACTTTGGAGGCTACGTACAGTCTGCAGGACGCTTTAGCAAGGAAAAAACCAAGTTACATCGTTACACACCTGGCAACTTCCCCCAGGTGGATGAGGCACAGGGAATGAGAAAGCCCTGATGTCCTCTAGGTGGTGGCAAGAAGGTGATCCTCTTTCCAGTGCTGCTGGACTGGATGCTGGCACCACACCCCCACATCTCTAATTAAGATAAGACATAATTACAGTGAAAAAGCTGGCTAGAAGTCATTCCAGGATGTAAAAGAAGTCCCATTTATTTTGTTTATTAATGAATAAATAATTATTTGCAATACAGTTGCATCAATGGAACCTGCTGATGACACACATTTTCTTGGACAGATGACTTAGGAAGGTGTTGAACACTCAAGGGGTAGTTGATAAACATCCATGCATGTAGGCCTTTTCAATGAAACTGTGCTCTCTAAAACAAATCCAGCATTTTGCATGAGGAAATTTGAGCTCTTGGGACAGAGCCGTGGCTGCGGGATGGCAGTCCAAGTCTGTCGTGTGGCAACTGGACTGGAAGGCATTGCAGTTGCCCCAGAAGGAGAAGGAGGTTCAAAGGGAGACAGTTCCAGCCCAAGAGCCAAAGACTAGGTAAGCCAGGTTTGGCCTCAGTCACATCTGCCAAGGAAGAGCTGCTGGTGTAAATGAGCCTCAGGGCACCCAGAAATGCAACATGCAAAAAAGGCCAAATGCAGGAGAAGGGAGCAGTGACAGCAATGGCCCTCTGTTCCCTTCAGCCTGCTGTGCTTCTGCACTTGCAAAGAGCCTGCTGTGTTCTTTACTCCTAACCACTGGCTGCTGGAAAGAAAGAGTTCAGCCTAGTTTGCCTCAACACCTCTTTAACCTATGATTTAATGTCACTGTCATTTGCATCATGAAATGGTGCTTTCCTACAACTGCTTTCATGACTATTGCACATTTCCCATAGCCCCCCACCCCAAAAAAGAGGTCAATTCAGAGCTGTCATTTTGCCTAGCAATGACCTCTTCCCACAGCAGCAGTGGCAAAAAACCCCCAACAAACACAAACAGAAAAGGGCAAGGAAAGAAAAATAGTTGTTTTGTGAAAAGGTGTCATTTGGCTTCCTTTTAATGCACAAACATTTTGTGTTCACCATCACAGGTGCTACTGCTGTCTTATACTAATATGTAAATGGCAGTTTTATAGGTATATTGTGTGTGTATATATATATATATATATAATTTTTTATATATATATATATATAGGGTTGTTTATGTGTGTGCATGTGCGTGTTTGTACACACACACACTCCCACGGCCTAGCAAGAAGTTGGCCAACAGCGTGGTCTAGGCCAGAGACTGGTTTGCTGATGGATTCATACTCCAATGGAGTCAATACCAGGCTGGGCTCTGGAGCAACACTTTTATAATAACACTCACTCCCTGTGGCAAAGTACTCTTGAGAAAGCTCTGGCTACATGATGAGAACCACTTCCGTATTTTTTTTTAACACTCCCCAGTTCTGTTTGTTTAATGCAGCTACAAATTCTCTAGGTCAAAACTCTGTCTGGGACGTGTGCGTGTTTAGAGATGCAGTCCGCTGTGAATGCAGCTCCCTTAAGTTAGAAGAAAGTATTGGCCAAAATAAAGAAGTCCTACTTGAAATGGATTAAGTATCCAAGTCTGGACTGGCTCTTTTGTGGATGCCCACGTTTCAGGTTACCTTCACAGTAGAGTAAAAAATGCAGTCTGCTTTCCTCGCATACCTAGAAGTAGTGTAGTGGAGGATCCCAGCCACAGCAAGAGTTTAAGAAGGCCCTCAAAAAAAGGGTGCAGAAGTGTGCACAGCTACAAAACAAATGACAGCTAACCAAGTAAAAGGGATTTTTTTTTTAATGCAGTTGTATATTTTGCTTATCAAATTACCATTTCTTTTACATCTGTGCACAGATATTTTGTATCCACAGTCTCCCCTTGGAAAGCATGCTTTTATCCTGTCCTCTGAGAGCCTGCCTCCTTTTTGACTTGTGGCTGCTAAGGGCATTTAAATTTGTAATATCAAACAAACAAAAAAATGGCTTGTGCCCTCTGCTAGGCTTTCAGGTTATGTAGGCTCTGTGTAAATGTACCATTGAAAAATTTAATAGATTGGTTTAACTACATTTTAACATGTAGATGGCATTCTGCTCTATACTGGATAGGCATTATCACAGAATCATAGAATCATAGAATCATTTAGGTTGGAAAAGACCTTTAAGATACAGTGACAGCAACAGAGAAGTGCAACATCAATGACATCATATCAATTTAGCAAATACTTGTGACCAAAAAAAAGAAAAATATTCATAATAGGAGGCATTTTGCTTAGTTTAACAACTTGAAAATTGATCCTTGTTCCTGAAACACTTTTGATTTTAAAATTTTTTTTTATTTCTTTCAAAATGAGCCCTTCCCCAGGGGAGACTGCATTTTCTGAGTTCCAAGTCAAAGTTGGTTTAAAAATGCTAATGTTTGCAGAATAAGATCATAGGATAATTCAGGCTGCAAGAGATCTCAGGAGGTCTCTGGATGAACCTCCTGCTCAAGGAGGGCCAGTCCAGGTTGTTCAGGGCTTTATCCAGTCAGGCACTGAAAACTTTCAAGGGTGGACACTGAACAATAAATGTTGATTCAGATATGGGCACTTGGCTGGCTGCACTCCAAACCCAAACCAAACCAGTACAAGCTTCTTCATTTCCACCCCACACCTCTGCTGCCACCCTCCCTGACAAATCACAAAATGGCAAATTTGACACAGCTCTGCCTAACAGGTAAAACTGACTTCAGAAAAATCATTAAAGGCCAAATCCAAACCCCACTGAAATCAATGCCGTCAGTGTCTGCCCAGGCCCCCTGTGGAAAATGTTTTAGTAAATAGCACTGACGAAAGGAAGTGTCTGATGGGATCAGGACAGGTTCCGAACGCAAGGCTCTCGTCAGGGATGGAGGAAGGCTGGGAGCTGAGCTCAGGTTTGGGAAGGAGCCAAATCCCGCGTGTTGGTCTGTGTCCTGAGAGCAGCCTCGGTCCTGGGAAATTAAGAATTTACCGAAGAAAGCCTCTATCATAAATATTTAAACTGGGAGAGTGGGGCCTTGCCTATATCCCATCTCCACATTGTATCTATCAGCAAAAAGCCCAATTCTTCCCGTTCTTTTCACTTCACTTCACTAAAAACAAACCTGTAAAAATAGCCTGAGATGTCAATCAGGCTGAAAGTCACTGGTGTAATTCTTCTTTAGAGCTCCTGCATTTCAGTTTTAATCAGGCAAAACAATATGAAAATGAGACAGAGAAAAAGGAAACCAATACTCCAAATATAGATATTTATAAGCAGGCATATTACATTCAATTTTTCCATTTTTTCACCAAGGTTCTTTCATTATCTATGATGATAAAAAAGAACTTATGCAAGGATGAGTGATATTTTGATACAGATCTTTCAAAGAAAAGTGATAATACAAAGAAACACTTTTCTAGAAATTAATATTTTGGATGCTTTTTATATCTTTTTTTTTTTTTTAAATCACAGAATTCAGAAGACCAACATTAGGTACAATGTTTTTCAGGTTTTAAAAGTTAGCTCTGTACTTCGGTGGGAGCCTGAAAACAAACCAAACCAAAAAGCACTTCAATTATAATAAGCAAAGGTCTTCTCCTAACAAAAAATTAAATACCATTATGGGATTTCATTCAACCTTGCTCCTTACCAAAATATTTCAGGCCAAGTATCAAGATAACTTGAAGTTTTAAGCTGCATTATAAATAACCCCTGACTCTAAGGAAACTTACTTGGAGATTATCAAGAAATGTAAAGAATTCAGCAGCATGTTAGTGGACACTGCAAAAGTATATGAGAAGTCTAGAGCAGCTGCAACTGTATTCTGGTTGTTTAAAGGTTTTTTTGATGGGGCTGTTGCATTGTGCCTCCAGTATACAATCTTCTTGTCAATAACATCTGGGCAATCAATGTGTGCAAAACAGGAATCTTGGCTTTATGGCGTATTTGCAGCCATATGTTTTCGACCTGTCAATACAGTTCAAAGGCAGTGAGTGAGGAAAGTTCAGTAGATGCGGCATCTGTCCTGGGTGTCATAGGACGGGCAGGACGGTCTCATAGGTTTTACTTTGTGTCATATATCATGCAACATATCTGGGCAAAAGGACACTTGCTTTGGCAATCTCAGCCATTGTAATGGCAAAGCAGCAGCAGCAGCAAGCAGTGGCTTCATACTGTCGTATTCGTTTAGCTGGCATTGCCCCTTTATCTCACTGACAATTTGGTGCTTGCTCATTTTCACACATCTTTAGAGTGATCATCTCCTTGCATCCTTCAGTGTGGTCAGCTTCCATTTTCCTCCCCACCCAAACCACAACGAGATTCAGACATCAAGTGTTCTACACACATCAAATCTGCATGTGCTTTTGTGTGCATGTGTCTGTCCAAATGGTTCTTAAAAACACTCGCTGGCATATTTTGTTACTTCAGTTTTCAAGATACTCCTTCAGCAGCAAGATCATCTAAATTGGTGAGGGACACTATGTCAGTATTTGGGGTTGGGCTCATGTCCTTTCGTAAGTGAACTTGAGTTTCTTCAGCATCTTGACTGTAGGGGTAAGAGGCTGGTTCAGTATAGGGCTGGGTATCCTCACCTTCTGTATATCTGCAGTCCTGCTGGCCATCTTCAGACAGTTCAGCTGCTTCTCCTGGTACAGCCGGCATTAAACAGGTAGGTTCGGAGAGCTGAGAAGGTGACTTCAGCACTGCTACAGATGAAGCTGGTAAAGGCAGCACTCTAGGGTAGGAGGCACAGGGAGAATTCGTAATTTCTGAAGAGGGGGACTGGTACAAATTCCTTTCTGAGGAAGGGACTGAGACTTGAACATATTTGCCAGTTTCTGGGTCATAAAATGTCTTTAAATTAACTTCAGCTGGTAAATCAACTACATAGTATTGGCCAGAGTCAGGGTCTTGGAGGAGTTTGCGCTGGGTTGAAGATGGTGAAGGGCTTACTGCTGGTGCACCACTGAGTCTTCCTGTACTGGCTTCTATGGGAGTAAAAGTTGAGTGAGGGGCAGGGTGGAGAGGAGGATATCCCAAAGGTGAGTGAGATGCTCGTGTCTGTCCAGAATGAGATGACTTTCTCCCTACAGCATCTGTATGCTCAGTCTGATGGGTTTTTTGCTGCTCTTGCATTTTCTTTCTCCTGCTTGCCAGCTTTTTGGCCCGCCGCAGAGCCTTTTCTGTTTTCGGTGGCACAGCAGGAGGCTTGCCTGCTGCCCTCTCCCCAGGTCCCCTGAGCTTCAGTCTCTCAGCTTCCCCCGCAGAATCAGAAGGCAGGTTCCTCTGTGCTGATTCAAGTATCTCTTCTGCAGACATATCAGCTTGGCTCTTCAGTGCCATGTTTAACAAGGCAGGGTTTATAACATCCTCTGTCTCTCTTCTTGGCTTGTCTGATGATGAACTGGCACCAGTAGAGTGCATTGTGCTGCCTGACCTGGGGCTTGTAAGATTGTCTAACAAAACCGGTGCACCTTCTCTATGTAGGGTGTCCTCTAAAGCTTCATGGCGCACAGGAGAATATGTGTGGTCCTCTGATATGGAGCCAGTCACAGGGGAAATGGTGTCCCTAGTGATTATTTTTTTCGCGCAGGAGCCACCTCTGCGATTAGATAAATGATGATTCTTAAAGTAATATGTCTTTCTTTCGGCAGGATAGCTGGGGTTGTTTTGTGCTTGGTCATTTTCCAGACCTAAATTTGGCTGTGTTAAGCTGTGTCTTGCCTTCCTCATCTGGGGCTTCTCTTTCCTTCTGCAGACACTTTCCTCATTCATTTTCCCAACTTTATTTAACAAAGCACAAGTCTCTTCATCTTCTTCCATCAGCTTCCCTAATGAAAAGCTCTCTGCATCTTCCAGAAGACTGGGATCCAGTGTTGATGAAGTAGATCCAGGCTCACTGGCCTCTTTCCCACTGTCGGTTGCTCCATCTCTCACGTTCTGCTGCCCTCTGCGCCTTGATGCCAACCAGCCTATGTCCTGGGCATGCAACATGTTTCGGTGCTGCTTGTTGTGCTCCGCTGGGGGCACAAACCTACTTTCCATTTCCTTATAACTGCTGCTCACTGTATCATCCAGGGAAAAGGACCTGAACAGGGGCAGCTTGACAGCCCTTATTACCTGAGGTGACCTGAATGTGTTATCTTTAATCATAAACAGACTGGGTTTGGTTGAGCTTGAAGATGGGGGTGTTTGTGGCTCCTCGGACCTGGGGATGGACACGTTTTTTATACTGTCAGAAGCAGAATCCATGCTGTTGGCCTCTTCCCTTTTCTCCCTCCTTACTTTCTCTTTCATCAAGCTCCTCTGTTCATTCCCAGTAACCCTACCCTCCTTCTTCTCTGCTGCACCACTACTAGAGCCTCTTACCATCTGCACTCATTTCACTCTTAGTCCTTTGGCTTTCTTGAAGGCATGCCTTCTGCATCACTGGTGAAAACAGCTCCTCCTGAAGTGGCTGCTCTACTGTGGAGACGAAAGATTGCTCTGAAGAACTACTGCTTCTTTTGCCTTCTGCTTCATGGCCAGTCACCACCATACTGGTTTGGATGTCACTGTAAGGCACATCCTCTGCTGGCGAGAGTTGGTTTGGGAGTGTTTTGAAGACAAACTCTTCATTCTGCTTAGCAGCCTGTCTCTCATTTCCCTCACCCTGGACACTGGGATTTTGCACGGGCTGCCCAGCTGTTGTATCTGTATTATCTTTGCTGAATGATTTCAGTGCTGGATACTGCAGACGTTTCCTTAAATCAGGTTCATTTGATTCACGTCTGAACAAGGGGAAGTTTTCATTATCCCTTGTGTTTTTAACCAGACCTTCATGTTTTGAATTGTCTTGCTGCAAGTTTTCTCCAGTTTGGTAAAATAAAAAGTCCGCTGTTGTCTGGGGTGAACTCAAAGTCAGGTAATTGTCTGTAAAGTGTCCAGTTAAATCAGTTTTATTATCATTTTCATGAGTGCTACCAGACAATATGGAGGTTATATCACTCAATTCATCTTTCTCTGTAACATTTTTGTTACTTTTGTCTTGTAAAGTCGAGAGTGACGCATTCATTTTTGTACTCTCTTGTATATTTTCCCTAGTTTTATTTTTCTCCTCCAAGACCCTTAACAGGGGAGAAGGGGTATAAATGCTTTTAACACGTTTACGCACATCCTTCAAGTTGAATAACAGACTCGATGCTTTCGATTTGTAACTATCCCGAGACCTGTAATCACCAAACGTGTTCCCCTCGTGCTCTCTTGCTGCCGTGCTCTCAGTGGGAGGAGGTGTCAGTGGGATCAGCTCACTTTCCACAGGGTCTGCCTCCTGTTTTTGTGGTATGATGGGTGTTAAGAGTTCGGTGATGTTGAAAGAGGGACTGATTGATCCAGGGGAGTTTACCTGCTTAGCCAGAGGAGTCACATCCAGACCAGGTTCAGCACCAGTCACCTTTTCATACAATGAAACTGTCTCCTCGCTGGCTGTGAAATGCTCCTTTGAAGTCTGTCTCTTCTCTGCTGCCCCTTTTGTGGCCCTCTGTCTCCTCCAGGGTGGACAGGCATTGCCCAGTTCGGGGCTGAGGGCCTCCTCTTCTGTTAAGGTGGCCAGGGGTCTTGGTGGAGGTGGGCTGGGTGCCTGGGACATGGGTGAGGGTGAAACCATCCTGTAGGACACAGACTGGGGTGAGACAGAAGCTTGGGACATGGCAGGGGGTGAAAGCTGAGCTGGAATTGGGGGTGGTGGCACGGGAGGGCCTTCAGGCATAGGGGGTGCTGGGGGGTGGCCCTGATGGGTGGGGGGTGGAAGAGGAAGTGCCTGTGAGACAGGGGGTGGCCGAGCAGGACCCTGGTGCGCGTGGATCCTAAGCGGGGGTGTGGGAGGAAGAGCAGCAGGCAATTCAGTTTCTGAAGGGAGGGGGTCCTGAGGTACGTATGCAGCTGGGAGAGGGATGCTGAAAGGAGCTTCTGGTGGAGTTGACTCCTTCTGAAAATCTTTCTCCTGCTTCTTAGCGACAGTGATCTTGGCAGGTGGTAATTTATGTTCACGTGTGCGGGATCCTTTAATAAATGGTGCTTCTTCCAGGTATGCAAGACCTTCCTTTTTTGTTTTTATACCAACAAATTCCTCTTTTTCAGTCAGTTTTTTATGATGAACATTCCATGATTCAAAAGCACTATTTTCACTGTGAAGAAAATTACCTTTTTTTGCTGGCTCATTAACTTTCACACTTCTATTTTTTAAAGCCTTTTTAGATGAACGGGAAAAATTTGACTTGGCTACTTTTGACATCTCAATCAGCACAGGATAATAACCATCAGAGCCACAATAACTCAGGTCTATTTTATTAGGTCTTTTCTGTGGCTCATGTTTGCCACTGAGGCAGTGGCTCCCTTGATTAGCCTCAGAAAATTCAGAAAGTTCCTTGTGGATGCTTAAAATGTCTGCCTCATCCCAGCAAGCCATATTGTTTCCGTGATTTAGTTTACATTTTTGAAAGCTGTTCTTAATGGGCTGCTTAAAGGGTATCAGGGAATCTCCTGACCCTTGGTCTGCAGTCTTATCAAATGTCTTAATCAATGAGGACACTTTTGAAATGTGTTTATTGTTCCTTGGACCAGGGACTGGCAAATTCAGCTTTTTCCTTTCCATGGCAAAGGTGTTATTTTTAGCAATCCTTTTCTCCTCCGGAGCACACTTCGGTAACTGCTGGAATGTTGAAGCCCATATTGCATGTTCATTGTTTCTTGCTGTTACCTTGTTACAGACGTTGCTTTTCTTGATTGTATGGTTTAACGTCCCTGGGTGAAATTTAGCAGAGAACTGGAGGGCGAAGTCAGGTGAAATGGCAAGATCTGGTTCATTGTAAGAGTCTTCGAGTTCTGCCACACACAAACTTTTGAAAGCCCGGTCTGTGAGGCTGCTCACCTCTCTGTCTGTGTCATCCAGGAGACTCCCAATACTTGAGGAGTCACTATGTCCTTCTGTATGTTTCTTATTTCCCTGCATTGTTCATGGGATCATGGATGAACTACCCAAAGGATTAATCTCAGGTGTCAAAGAGGCAGATGATGGTGTTGGGCGGTTCCAGCTGTTTGCAATTCACAAGCACAAAGCGGTTCCTCCTGATGGTGCTTCTGCACATTGATTCATCTTACGGACTAGCTGAAGGAAACTTTCTTCTCTGCAAAGCCAAAAATTATAAACTGTCAGTTTTCTATATTAACACTATTAGACAGAGAGCATTTTCCAGATATATCAGCCACTGACTAATTTGCTCCTACATATATACTAAACAAGATGCTAGCAACACAATAAACAACATAAAAAGATATTAGTTATTTTTGTCAGTTCAAGTAGCTCATGTTAGATGGTTTCATTTCTGGGAAGTGCCATCAAAAGAAAGTGGTTTCACCTCAGGTTCTTTACTTAGGCTCTTAAACAAGGATATGAGAGCCAAATTTCAAGTACTTCCCTTTCCATACCTCCAACCATAAACACTTCCAAGTACTGTGCATATATTTAGCTAAGAAGGTTAGCCATTTTTTTGGCCAGGAAGAATTAGTAATAAAAAGGGAGAAAACTTACTTAATGAAAGAAAAGTTGATACAACTTACTTGGCAAGACCTCACAATTATAATTTTAAATATCTTATGAAAAATGAAGTTGTTATAGAAGATTCTGTTCTCACTCATCTGTTAGCTCGTGACTGTGGAAAATGAAGTCCATAGAGGTGAACCTGCTTGTATCAGGCTGGAGATTTGCTGTGACAAATACTCTGAGCAGAAACCTTGTTTGAGAAAGCCAAATGGCATCCACAGGTAAAGAGGATTTACTGGACATTATCATTTTCCAAGCAAATATTGCTGGTCTCAAATCCTTTAGCCACCCATATCCAGATACGGTTGGCTGGTGTATCGAAACTGAAGAGGCTGCTAATATCAGCTTAGCCAGCAGAAGGCAGGAGTGCCTAGGGGACTCTAGCAGACCCACTAAAGGAGCACAGGGAACATTTGGTTTCAGTTCGAGAATGCTGAGAGCAAAAGGTAACCCACTGAACACAATTATTAAAATCACAGCCTTCCATTAATCCCTGATTATGGTGCACAACCAGGGCCCACAACGTTGTGGGTTTTGTCTATCTCCACGTCAGTCTGAAGACAGGACGGGGGAATCTTTGCATGGAACAAGTATAAGCAAAATAGACTCTTCAGCTATACTTGAAGTGTATAGACTGAAACTCTTTCAAGTTTACTCTGTAAATTGCTTAGATACTTATTCTCACATTCAAGGGCTTGAGCAGGGTATTGGCTAAGCTACAGCAAGGCTTGGTTTAAACGCATATTCAAGAGCTAACTGAAGTGAAAGTCCTTTTAGTATCTTTAAGAAAAAGTTTGATCTGTATCTCCATTTCCTAGTACAATTACATCATTAACTTGTGACGAGCTGAAACACCACAGTTCACATCTACAGCAGCTTCCAGCTTCTATACAGGTGGAAGTTGTCTCCATCTCATGCTTGGATCCACTGTAGAACTGAGCAATGAAATCCAGATCTAGATTCCAGCCCCTCCAGCTGCCCAAATCCATGATTCCAATTTGGCCCATCTCAGTGAGACTCTTGGAAAAGGCACATTTTTCCCTATGATGACTCAGTGCTGGTCAAAGTATAAAAAGTCAGAGGAACTGGGCTTGATCAGCTGAGTTACTCAGGCTCAGTTGTTTCTTCAAATGAAAACATTCCTCACCTTCCTTTTCTGTTTAAAAAAAACCTCAGCCAACTTATTTTTAGCCTCAAAGTGTCATAGTGAATCTTGATTCTGTCCTTTCAGCCATACAATTCTAATGACTTATGCAGAACTACAATAGATTTACACCAGAAATAAAACGAGCTTAATGGAGCTTCTCCGTTTTACTTTGTACAAAGATTTTCAAATGCGAGTTTCACTCCCCCCCGCCCCCGCACATACATTTTTGTGTGTAATGCAGCAAGAAAAAAAGAGAAGACAAATGAAAGGCCATCCCGCTCTTGGTTTTGATTCTTAACTGCTATATGAGCGGGAAGTACAGGTACGTACCTGCCATGTAATTTTGCTTCTCATCTTTAGAACTCCCTCTCATGCTTGTATTTGGCTTCATTTCTGACCATCTTTAGTGAGGAGGTAGAAATAGTCCAGTGATGTAGATTTGACAGAAGTAGTGTCCTGGGATGTTTCTAACCTTCAGCATTTTTTGATCCTAAGTGAACTCTGCAATTTGAAAATAAAGACATTTGTTTGCATGATCTGAAGATTGTCTCGTGCAGTATTCATTAATCTATCTGTTCATTCACATTTTACAACCATTTTAGGAGTGATTTACAGGATTTCTTACCAAAAGAGACAGGCATCCATCGCAGGGTGATAATAACCAGATACCTGGAGGGTTTGGTAGCTTGTGGAGTGCAGTCAGGTTCCCAGCAAACAACTATCACAACTTTCAGCACTCTCTGGTAGCCCCAGCAGGGACTAACAGCTGAGTGAGCAATGGTTTCCTGGCAGGCTGCCCCTTGCAAAGGCTGGGTGACGTCTCCAGGCTAAAAAGAGGGGTTGTGCCAGATGATGTCTTCCCTGCTGCTGTCTGCATCCCCACTGTGCCTCCCTTTGAGAGGGACTGCAGAGGAAAATGTGTGCCTTTGCTCCACCTGTATATGACTTCCCACTGCCAACAAGTATAGACAGACATCAATCTGGCAGACTGGCAACTAATGCAGCTGAGGTCTGAAAGTCCTTCCTTTTCACGGTCCCTGTTGTAAAGGAGACGGAAGGTGGACAGCTGGGATGGCGAAGGGCAGAAAACAAAACAACTATTTGCTTCCATGCATGGACCAGAGTCTAAATGCTCTAAACCTGGTCTAAACCAGATGCTAAAGAAAAGCTCAGCTATGGTGAATGTGCATTGCTGCTGACCTTTTGCTGTGGAGACCCTCAAGGCTCAGGCTAGTTTGTTTAATCTTTGCAAGAATATATCCATTTCCTACAAGGAGAACTGCCTGGCCTTGAGGTAATAGCACATAGGTGTAGACATAGTAGGTTTTCCTGAAGCAAAGAGTGGCCTCAAAGGAAACTTTTCTGTCAGCCTGTGATATTTAAATCTCACTGGCAAAAGCAGCAACAAGGGCTCACCCACTGGGACGGTCTCCTACAGCTTACCTGGGGAAGGACAGTTGTTGGTGTTAGTTTAGGGACAAGCCTGTACCCGTCAGAGCTTTCTGTGGTCTGTTTAACATATCTGAGTAAAAAAAAAAAGTAAAAGCAAAGAAAAAAACCCCAATGCTATGTCTAGTTGCAGCCAAATGTAACAGGGCATCCTCACTGCAGGCATGTGTACTTGCTTATCTCTTTGCTTAGAGGTTACATTACAATTTTACTGCTTCTGTGGTGCTCTTAACTGCGCAAAGCCAACACAGCTGTGGGAGATTGTGATTATGTTCTGGCTCACTCATCAACGGGGCTGTTGACTAAATTCCAGTGGCACAATGTGTATCACTATTTAGTGGTGGTGGTGCCTGAACTAGGAGGAAGCTAGGCTTTCAGGTCTCATGGACATAGGTCTGAAGAAACATCTTGTCCCTTGTAAACTGAGAACATTTGCTGAAAAGTGAGTAGGGTAACAATAAACATGAAGATCATGATGTAATCTCAGCAATTATTTTCCTAGATGGAGTCACCGTTACAAAAACAACTCGGCTTCACTGATTAAAAAAGAATAGCTACTGTCACTGTCTCTGAAACCCTGGTGAAGATCCTCGTCTCTCCTGGCCATAATACCACCACTTGGGCAGTGTAACGTTTCAAGCTGGAAAAGCTCTATCTACACCAAGCGTTTGAGGTGCAGATCACTATCGGGACTGGACTGAAACAGCAGCACTGTACTGATCTGGCTATCCCTTGTATAGGTATGATGGCAACTTCTGAACTTTGGGCACAGAAGCTATTCGCGGCTGGCTTCGTAACCTGGTAAAGTCCCATTTCTTTACTTTTTTTGACAAACGTGGCAGCCAGCAAGCAAGGTCCAGTGTTTGAGCCTAGGTCAGGATTCAGCTAGTTAAATCTTCTAAGGTTGCCTGAATTCAGGCTATTTTCAAGACAGAAGAAAATAATGCTGGGCATTTGAAACGGCTTGGGAAATTCTGAGAAACATGTGAGGTGTTTGCAGTAGGCATCATCTGATACGAGCTACCGAAAAAGCTTGCATGAATGTACAGATTTCAAGGAGCTTAATCAGAAACCAACCTCCTCTCGCTTTTAAATAAGAGGGTTTTTTCAGCAGCTCTCTTAAGTGCCTAGCAAGTTGTGATGAGGAGGTTAAATTACAGAGACTATTCCTGGCCTGGCACAGATTGAATGTCAATTTTTTTCACTAGACAGGAGCTAGGCAAACTGGCAAACTTAGCTGAAGTGTGTGTCATCACTGCTGTCGCAATATATAAAGGGCCGGTTGGTTCCCCCACCCACCTTGGGCTGGTATTTGGCTGAAATGTTGTGCCATGAGACATCGCAGTGGCATTTTGGCAGCCCCCTTGGGAGTTGCATAGCAATCTGAAGTCAGCAGCACTGCATTCCCCTGGACGATGGGAAAAGAAGGGAGAGGGAGGGAAGGTTTATTTTTTTTAAATGTTTGAGAGCTGGTTTCTTCATGTGGTGCTCTCTGTATGGCATCCACCCACAGTTCCAGCCTGAAACTCAGAGCCTTGTCGTGACTGCTGGCTGAGGGTTATTCAACAGCATGTTCTGCTCACACACACGCTGCCGCTGCTGCTTTGGGTTTCCAGGGGCTCATCATGACAAATAGTTAGTGTTTCCTACCATGGGAAATAGAGGAATCCCTAATGAATTGATGACTTTTGTGCACAGGTGTGTGTTTGTTCATGGCACGTACAGGAGCTCATAGTCAGATGAGGGGACTGGATGGAAACAGTCCTCTTCAGCTATGTGTCATCAGGCTGAGACTGTGCTCCCAGCTGATGGC